CCACAAATAAAGTGCGTGTTGTGGGTCTCGCTCACTGCAATATAACATCACCTGATTAAGTCAGGCCAAGAGAAAGAAAAAAAATGTCCAATACTGTGATTTAATTCCATTTATTTAAAGAGGCATATATATATATACACATGAAACATTAAAAAGCTTTCTTCTATAGCAACTAGTCCTAAGGAAAGCATACATTTGCGACAACTCTATGGTGTAGAGGCATATTTTCTCAAATTAGATCTACCAAAAATTATCATACCATACAAATGCAAAAAAAAAGTATTTAGCTTAAAAAAAAAAAAGGGCCTTGTTCTTTGGTAGCATTGGTGTTCTTTAACCATGTATCCGTATTAGGACAAACACTTTTTTGGGGGGGAAAAAAACATAATTTCTTTTTTTAGCGTCTTCCAGAATGACAGAAATTTTGAGCAGTGTTCTTTTTCACTCATTATAGTATCAATAACAACGGTAATTTCAGTTGTAAATGAGATAATTTCAGATAAAAATATGTAATAAGTCTTTGACCTTTCCGCAGTGAAATGTCGGACACCCATGATATGTTTCTCATACACACAAAGTCTGGTAGTACGTTTACATGACACGATGTAGTCGTTACCTTCGCACTTGTCCACATTAGAGGTGACTTAAATTATTGAGACACACACTAATCAAATATCAAATGAGTCAATGAGTGCACGGTAACCAACCAGACGATCAGTTCACCTCTCTCCTTCACTAGAAATTCTGTGAGAAATTTTTTTTACATATGTGTCAAGACGCGGTAGAATCAGGTGCTCGTCAATTTTTGGGCATGTAGAGTTTTATTGATATCATCTAAAAGCTTTAAATTCATTTGCCTTGCTTTCTATGATCGAAAAAAAATACCCATCTATCTTGAATGGAAGTCGAGATATTTGCGACTGAAGAAGGTGGGGTAGCCCGGTTTCAGAGGTAACATTAATGCGAAAATGGCCACAAAAGTTGGGTAACTTAAATAGCTTGAAAGCCCTCGAAAAACTGAAAAATTACATATTCTGTGACTTCAATCAATGCCTGTCCGAAAAATTCACAGGGAAATGTATTTTACATGGACTTGGATATAATTATATAATAGGTGTTGAGCTAAAAAAATAATATGCCATACTCATACTGGCAGAAAAACGCCTGTTTCTTCGATTTCATTATTATGACAGGCACCTGATTTCACCACGATGCCTCACATATATTGTCTGTCTTTATGAAGCCGTCAGCATATTTCACTTGTACCCATGCTTTCCGTTTGCTTTATTTTTGTCAACAAAAATCGAGAACGTATGGTATTTTTTTTTATTATATCAATTTTTGTTGCTTTGCTATGTTCGGTAGGATATATATGGCCTGGTGATGAATGGATTCTAAATATACAGAAAAATCTCGGTAGATAAACACAACGTTCTCCCTTCGACCCAAGATTTTGAATGTCTTAACCAAGGTACTTGTTTGCCAAAAAAGAACATATATGAAATAAGACTTGGGGCTTCAGACAATGAATGTTACAGCACATAGCATGTTTTAGGCCGAGTACATTTCACCGAGGTTTGACTGACTGTACTTTCAAAGCCTTTTCAGGTTGGGTTGTTTGTTGTTTTTATTTTGCTCTATTGTGAAAAATAAACCGGTCTTCTATAATTATAACAGACCATAATACTATTGCTCTGCAGGTTCGTTTTCTACTGCATTACGATGCCTTTGGTTTGTTCTTTGGGGCTGTGGACTTATTGCATATCTAGTAAATAGGTCGGTCTATAAACTACTTGATCATAACATACTAGTACTGTACTACTCCTGCGGTTACTACATGATACTCAGCTGACCCTTTCACAAAGTACGGTAAAACCCTGACAACACAAACTTCACGGAAATAGAGAATTTCTTCACATTATGCAGATTTCGTGTTAATTAAAAGACTTTGCAAAGCATAGCATAAAAAGGGAGGGGGGAAAAAAACCAAAACGGATTAGAATCGTTTTGCGGTAACAAGAATATTGTGTTAAATGGCTCCGTGTTCATAAACACCGTCAACTGTACTACCATTAGTTTGCTCTATGGCCACGTATTTATGCATGGTTTTACAAAGCATCAATCACACAACATAAGGTCAGTTGTCCGAGAATAGGCCCATCTTTAGACCTTTTCAGTGAGGATCCGAGAGGACCCACTACTTCACATAGTAATAAAGTTTATACTAAAATAAAAACGTTAGTAATCCTTTCTTCGGCTGCCTTCAGCTCTCAGATCTCAGATCATAGGACAGAAGTGAAGTTCACTGGCACATGTCCCAGAACTGTTGGGAGTGTCTAATAAGGGAGTCGTCCAGTCTGTAGATGTGAACACACACGGCATGGGTGACAACAGCCAGTCATTTATTCAAACCAGGAGATCTCCAACTGGTACTGCACACAGTCAACATCTGGTCAGACCGGTCCTACACACTGGTTAACATCTGCTCGGATTGATCCGGCACACTGTAAACTTCTCACACCTGTGGTGAACACTCTGTAAACATCTGCTCACATCGGCCCCCGCACACTGTAAACATCATACTCCAGTGAAGCAGAAATGAGCCGGGGCAGAGTATACACCATCACCACCACCTCACAACTTGGGTACGCACGGTACCACTTCTCCGACTGACAGGAAGCCGAGACAATTTCCCCACACACTCAGTTCTCTCTGAAACCACCTGTGGCCCTGTTTGCCTTCTGGTATCCATCACCTCGTCAGGCACTGTCCTTGTGGACAGACTGGTGGTCGGGCAATAAAACAGGATTGTGGGCCTGCGTACGCACACATGTGGGCGTGTTTGTACCATTTCAAGATTTAAAACGATCGATACTCAGGGAGGTCCGCGTTATTCAGTGGGAGTCGTGCATAGAAAAGTTAATGGGCGGCAGGCCGTGCGTGTGGAAGGGCGGCGGGGGGCCCATGGAGCCGTTAAACGCCTGTCCCATGTGGCCGCGTGAGTCAAAGCTGTGCGGGTACAGGGCGGCCATCGTGGGCATCATGTGAGACTGGGCCGAGTGCGGCCGATTGTGATAGAGCGAGGCCGCCTGCGGGCCGTGTTGCAGGGAGGGGTCCATGGCTTGGTGCGGGCCGCCGGGGAGGATGGGGTTGGTGTGGAGGAACTTGTTGGACGAGATATTGTCGGAGGGCGTGCCCTCGTTCCCGAACAGGCCGAACGGGGACATGTGCGGCGCCATGGCCATGGAGTGGGGGGAGATGCCCGCCGCGTTGCCGTGGTTACCTGTCATGGAGTTCATGCCGAAGCCAGCGGGCTGAAAGAAAGAGTTCTGCGCCCTTGTGTGGAACAAGGGGAAGTGGGGGCCGGCGGTCATGTCCGCCGCTGTCTTGGAGCTGGAGTTGGAGATCTGGCGGGACGGCGTGTTGAACATGCCGCCTAGGAAGGGTGTGTCCGCCTGGTGGGGGCGGGCAGCTGGCGGGGACATGTTCTGGGTCAAGGTCGGAAAGTTCAGGTAGGGGAAAGAAGGCTCGAACACATTCTGGGACATTGAGCATTCCATGTCCGGGGGGAAGCCGGAATGCTGCGAGGCCGTCGTCGTCTTCTTCCGCGACGAGGCAGAGGAAGAAGAGGAGGAGGAGGAGGACGCAGCCTTCCTCTTCTGCATGTTGCTGCTGTTGCTGTTGCCCCCAGCGCTGCTCGCGCTGCGGTTGTGGGACGAGGACGAGTGGCTTGACACCGAGGAATTCTGGGCCTGTGGGTGCTGGGAAGGCTGGGCCCGGCTCGCAGAAGACGAGGAAGCCGAGGAGTGGCCTTGACCTTGGTTTAAAGCCGAGCTGCTGTTGCTGCTGCTGTTGGCCCTATGGCTGGATCCCCCACTGCTGCTGCTGCCGCTGCCCGACATGGAGCCCGCTGAGGACGTCTTCTTCTGATTCGACTGCTTTCTGGGGGCTGGCTGCGGCTGCTGTTGCTGCTGATGTTGTTGCTGTGGTTGTTGTTGCTGTTGTTGCTGCTGTTGCTGCTGCTGCTGGTGATGGTGGTTGGCATCAACTCTGGAACAGTCCCGGGAGAAAGACTGTGCAGCCATGGCAGCTGCCCCATATCCCGACGAGATTTGAGCGTGTGGGTGGGAGAACCCCATGGCTGGGTGTCCCATGGCGTAATCGTATGGCGACCTTGTAGGCATATCGCGACCATCAGGAAGGTGCCGCAGCGGCATCGAGGCTGCGGACAGTGAGGACGACGCCGCCGAAGAGGAAGGGAAGCCGACGGGAAAGAAGTTATTGTGGGAGGAGGAGGAGGAGGGTGCGATGGAGGAGGCGGAGGAAGCAAGGCGGCCCGTGGGGTCGAGGTGAGCCATGCTGGCCGGAGGGTGCTGGATGGTGTTGGGTCTCTTCTGCTGCTGCTGGTAGATGGACTCTGGGGTCGACTTTGACCCGTGGTAGCCGCGACTGCTGCTGCTGCTGTTGTTGTTGCTGCCGCTGTCCATGCTACCACCACTACCACCACCGCTGCCACCACCACCACCGCCACCTCCACCACCAGCTTTGCTGCCGACTCCTGAAAATGAATTCGCAGTCCCCGACGCGCTTTGGCTGGATCCCGAGCTCTGAGACTTGCCTTGGTGAACCCCAGAGTTAGAGTTCCCAGCCATGGGCTTATTGCTATTGCTGCTGGGTCCCGTAGGGCCACTTGACGCGCTGTACGTCGGCGACTTGGCTATTGGCGGTATGTCCAGTTTGGGTTGGTTGCCGTAGGTCATCAGACTCGAAGGCCCTATTCCATAATTGGGCGTGGCGGAAGAGGGGTCCTGGTTGGGTCGCGAGGACGGGTGCTGGATCTCCATGTTGCCCAGAGGGTGCATGGCCAGAGAGTGGTGGGTGGACGAGGAGGAGGAGGAAGACGAAGACGCGGCCGCCGAGGACAGGCCCATGGAGGGAGGGTGGGGGAAGAACGGGTGGAGGTACGAGGAGGGGTGGGAGCCTGCCGCAGACTGGGGGAGCGAAGGCTGCATGGAGGAGGAGGAAGAGGGTCCCCCGCGGTTGGGAGGGGGTCCCCCCGCACCCCCACTACTGGCCCCCGAGCCAGTGCCTGCGTTGTTGGCGCTACAGGAGGCTTGCTGGGGGTGGGAGCTGGAGGAGAGGGAGAACGAGAAGCCACCACCTCCCCCCGAGCTGGGGTTAGAGGTCATGGGCATCGTGCCTGAGCTAGGGACGGCGGGCGCCGAAGTCACGTTGGAACTCATACTGGAAAAGTTGAAGCTCTCGTTAGGCAGCCCCCTGGTAGCTCCGCCCCCTTGCGGGTTGGACGCATTTGGGTGCTCGATAATTTTGTCCACGGAGTACTGGTTCTTCTGTTGTTGCTGCTGCTGGCTGTTGGAGGTGGGGAAAGTTTTGGGCCCGCCTATGTAGCCTGCGGTGGCTTGCTCCTGGGGATTCTGGGACGCGGCTGACGGGCTCATGTGTTTTAGTTTCATGCTGGAGCCGCTGGGCGGGGAGGCAAAAGTGTTGCCATGAGGGGAAGAGTCCGGGGGTGGGAACAAAGGGGTCAGGTTCGGAGACTGTTGGGGCGGGTGGGAGAGTGGGGGGACGCCGGATCGCTGATCCATCATGGGGCTGCTGTTGACTTGAGCGTTCTGCTGAGCTTTCTGACACGACAACTGCTGTTGTTGCTGCTGCTGCTGCTGCTGTTGTTGCTGTTGCTGTTGAGCAGCGGGTGACATGCCATGGACAGAGCCCGGGTTGCTGGCCGAGCCCGGGGAGGCATGGAGCTTCGGCGAAGGGAGAGGGGTGGTGGAGGCCGATGGGGGTCGAAGGTTGTGGGGACTGCTCTGAGGGGGCAAGTGGGTCGGCGTCTGCCGATGTTGCTGTTGTTGCTGCTGCTGCTGTTGTTGTAGTTGTTGTTGCTGTTGTTGCATCTGTTGCTGCTGCTGCATCTGCTGAGGCTGCTGTTGCATCTGTTGCTGCTGCTGCATCTGCTGCTGTTGAAGCTGCATTTGCTGCTGCTGATGCTGCTGTGCCTGGTGCTGTTGCTGCTGCTGCAGCTCCATCTGCTGTTGTGACGGTGGGCGTGATTTCTGCTGGGGCATCCCGAGACCCAAGTCGTTGCCGGCCATGGAGACGTGCGTCAATGGCTGCGTGCCCGCTCCTTGACTGCCCGCCCCGCGCCTCTGTTGCTGTTGCTGCACACAGTTGTTGTCAGCCACAGCCGCAGCCGCAGCGGCCACCACAGCAGCGGCGGCAGCCTCCTCCTCCTCCAGCTCGGAGGTGATGGGCTTGAGGGGAAGTATCTCGGACAACACGTCCAGCGATGAGGAGCTGAGAGAGGGCATCTGTGACTCCATGGACGGGGCGGTGCTGGAGGGCTGGCCTGTCTCTAGGTGAGACATGGACGACGGAGACGCTTTCATACAGCTGTTGGGGGAGGTTTTCGTGTTGAGGACCGCTACAGAAGATGATGATGCGATAGAGAGGGAGGATGACGATGGATGAGACGGGGAAGACGAAGAAGATGGCTGGGAGGATGGAAGAGAGGTTTGTGGCTGGGGTAAGGAGAGGGTCATGGACGAGGTCAAAGATGACGAAGGAGTGGACAAAGAGGCTGAAGGCGAGGAAGAGGAAGACGGAGCGTGGGGGAGGATGGATCCTCCGGGCTGAGGGGGGCTGGAGGGAGCGGTCATGCTCTCTGGGAGTGTGTTGCCAGGAGACTTGGGGTCCAAGGGCGGAGGCGTGTGCATTCGGGAGGAAGGCTGCGCGATCGACGAAGGCGAGACCAGCTCTTTCGCCCCCGGAGTGTCCATCAGGAGCGAGTGGTTGTGATTCAGCGGGGGCGCTGGGGTTCTCAGAGCCGGCAGCTCCACATCCGAAGGGGACAGCACTCCGTTCTGAAGCGAGGGCGGGCTCGAGTTCAAGATGATCTTCCCCGGGCTCTGCTGATTGAAGAAATCCACGATACTATCCTCGGGGAGCCCGATGGAGTTCTCTTGGTCGTCGTTGTCGTTTCCTTCCAGTTTGGGCGAGCTGTGGAAATCCATGACCGGGAACTCCATGGCAAAAGATTCTTCCAGACTGCTAGTGAGGTTGGCTTCGGTCACAGAGGAGTTGCCAGCCTCTTTCTTAGCAAGCGAGGCCTCCGTGGTGGTGGTGACCGACGTGCTGGAGCACGAGCTGACGGGGCTGAGCGGGGAGTTCTTTGACGGGGACGTTGAGGAGAACAAGGGAAGCGACCGGGGCACGTTGGACCGCGTGCTGGGGCCGGAGAAAGAGACCTGCGGCGTCGTGCTGGCTGTGGAAGCCGAGGATTTGAGCTCAAGGGGTAATGTGGACAATGATGATGGTATCGAAGAAGGCATGGATGATGGTAACGACGATGAAGATGATAACAACAGAGCTGAAACGGAGTCTGTCGATTCAACATTAGCAGATGGCAGGGGGGCGGGAACCGAGCATGGTGACAGCAAAGACGGCGTCGATGCCAAAACTGCCGAAGACGACGGACATGTTGGATGGGTTACTGCCGCCACCGGCACTGACATTGACAAATGGTCCGACACTGACGCTGCGACAGGGGCACTTTTCTGATTCTTGGCTTCGCTGCGAGTAGTAACGCTACCAGTCTTTGCATCAGCCGACACCGTGGCCGAATCCCCTGCAGCCTTGCTGGATTTACCCTTACGAGTGGCCGGCGTTTTCTTTGTGGGCGACTTGGAGGGGGTCGGTGGGGGTTGCAAGAAGCTAATGGCACTATCGTCATCATCCACAAATTCGTAAATGTCTGAAGACGCACTCATCGGCGCCGGCACTAAGGACACACTCATTCCGAAAAGCCCCATGTCCGCCATCGACTTGGGCGGCTCTTTCTGCTTTGGAGCAGACTTTTTCACCTTCTTTGCTTCACTTTTTGTTGACGCGTTCCCTGTCGCCTCTTTCCTCTTCCGCGACCTCTCCCTGGTGGTCGCCGACTTTGACTCTGGCACTTTGACTTGGAGAGTATCTATGGGGTTCACCGTGGCAACGGCCGCAGCCTCCACCATCAGCCCACGGCTTCCCTCTCCGACAGACAGAGGGTTGGCCGAGTGACCACTGGCGATACTGTTATTGAACACGGCCGTTTCCTCTCCCGTCTCTGAACTCAGAATCTCCATCTTGTCCACCACATCCATCAGACTGATGAAGCTGCCGTCCGTGTTGAGGAGTTTGGACTCGGCGACAGAATTTAAAATCTGCTCCTTAACAGCCTCATTCTCATTCACCTCGAGAACCGTCAGAAGCCCGTCGTCCTCCCCACCATCTCCCTGCGACGCGCTGACAAACACTCCATTAGCGGCAGCCACACAGTTTCGACTTTCTTCCTCTTCCCTGCGTTTCTTCTCTTCTTCCTCCTTCGCCAACCTTTCCTTCTCTTCCTTCTCCTTCCGTAACTCCGCTTTGGTTTTGCGCTTTTTGGCTGGCGCTTTTTTCTTGGTCTCCACAGGTGTCGGAGCCACAGAAACAGAATTGTTCAAGTCCGAAGTTTTGGTCCGAGGAGTCATCCCATCAGAGGAGAGAACAGACAGCGAGGTCACCACGGGAGCTATGCTGGCAGCAGCCGACGACTTCTTACTGCGACCTTTGCCCTTTGCCGCTGGTTTCTCCTGCAGCAGTCCAATTTGGCCCATGGAATCGGACAGAGAGAAGGCGGGCGTGTCGCAGGTGGAGCTTGCTGGCGAGGAAGACACGGCTGAGCCTTTGGTTGGTGCGGGGGCGATGGGAACGTAGGATTTGAGTTTTGGAGACACGTTACTGGCCACCGTGATGGGCGAGGGCAGTTTCATGCTGACAGTACCACCGCTGTTGTTGTTCTGGGTACCACTACCGCTGTTGCTAGAGGCCGTAATGATGTTCAGAGCACTCAGCTTTTTGGAAGAATCTGGGCTCTGCAGCTTGAGCTTACCGTCCACACCCAGGCTGTTTGACAGCTGAGCGAATACATCCTCGGGCCGGAACGGGCCGGCCACAATCTGCATTTCACTGGCAGAAGTCGCAGCTGTGGCAGAAGCGGACACGGCAGAGGAGTTTTTGTTGCTGAAGATGGTGGCAGACATGGGGCTGAGCAGCTGAGAGGAAGATATGGTAGACATGGCACTAGAAGTCAGCTGCTGCAGTTGTTGCTGCACCGACTGGGGCGGTGGCTGTTGTTGTTGTTGTGGTGGTTGTCGCTGCTGCGTCGTTGTCGTCGAGGCAATGATGGGGGACACGAGCGGCGTGGTCAGCTCCCCGCCACACAGCGCCGTCTGCTGGGAGGAAGAGCCGGCTCCCCCCGCGACCCCCAACCCAACAGGGGTCAAGGCCTGCGGGAATACGGAGGAGGAGGCCGGCAGGGAGGAGGAGGCCGGCAGGCTGGTGGACACAGACAGGCTGCCCATGTTGGGGCTGAAGGTGGACTGTGCCGGGGAGGTGGAGCTGCCTCCGCCGCAGTTCTCGTCAATGATCAGCTGGATGTTGTCGTCCTCCTCGTCCCGCGGCGACTGCTTCAGCGAGATGTGCAGCTCGCCCGTCGACGATGAGCCAGAGTTGTTTAAATCGGAGGCTGTAGACACGTTCAGAACACCTCCAGCACCCACAGACCCACCACCACCACTAGTGGCGCTGTCGCCCGCGTGCGGGTACTCCGAGCCGTGATTCTCCCCGTCCATCAAAATTCCCGCCGTGGCGGTTGCCTGGGCCAGGAGGTCCGTCTTCTGCACCGCAGTCAGCGTTGTCTTCCCCTCCAGCCCCTGTTTCGGACTTTTGCTCTTCGATGTTTTTTCGAACGTTCTGCCTCCGCTTAAGACAGTCTTTGACGAGGTGGACGACATCGGTAAAACGGCAGCAGCAGCACTGGCTGGTGTAGACAGCTGTATCTGCTGCTGCATGAAGTGTGGCGAAACCTCTAAAGCGGCCACGGGAGATAATCTTGCAGACGACGGGGATCGCCTCCTGTTCTGGGACGTCTTCGAGCTCAGTGGCCCCGCCGCGGGAAGTTTCCCCGACGAGGACACAGCTTTTCCTCCACTGACCACAATTTGCTGCGGGATGACCGACGGCAGAATGGCAGGAAGGGAGGTCACTACCCCTGAAGCTCCCGAGGCCATGATTGTGGCCCCTGATTGAGAAAATGCAGGCGCCAGCGGTGGGTAGTTCTGTGTGCACAAAAGAATAAAGTATTAGTTTTACAGCACTTGCAACACAAATAAGTCATATACATGATGAAGATCAGACGTGTTCCAAGAGAGTAACATACAAAGAAAAAGAGAAAGATAAGGACGATAGATGTTTGATAGAAAAGAAGGAACAAACCACACTGGAGCACCCGTCAACCGTGCACTCACACACAAATCAGGAAGGGAAAATTTGTACCAGATCAGATAAAGGATTTGAAGGAGTCAAATATATTTATGAACCCTAAAGAAAATTACTTTAAAAAACAGAAACAACCCCGTGGGGCAGTGCCACTGACTGACGTGTCTTTACGCCATTCCCAAAAGGGGGACATATCTCGTTCAAGCATAGTAGAATTGTAAATGGGCTGATTCATGTCAGGCTCATAACTGTGCCTCATCTACAACAGGGAACTGCTGCTTTTTCTTTCCTGATCCTTACTATTGTCTTTTCCTCTACTTCTTTTGTATGTTATTCACTCCCTTGTGACCTGCTATTTCCGGGGTGCCTTGACAGTCGAAGCAGGCTTTGTGCTGTTGAAGCTAGAGAGGTGAGCAGTCTAAGTCTGATTCCCAGTAAAGACTTCTCTGTTGACACCCACCCTTTGGCGCTCATATGACCTTATGCAGCTGCGAGCGCCGTAAAACCCTCTACTATAAAAAACCCCTCCAGAAACATTTATGTGCTGGAACAATACACACAGCAAACAGGGTTCCCTTTAACACATTCACTTTGCTTCCTCCAAGATACATTATACTTTATACAGTAAACATGGATAGTTCGAATTCATCGTAACCGGCCTCGGTAGCTCAAGGGATCCGTAATTCGAGGGGTATCTCACAACGACAAAAAAAGAGAAGGAAAAAAATGGGACCACAGGCACACTTCAACGAAAGTGTGATTTCGAGTCTTTTGCGTTCAGCCTATCCGTATACTACCGTAATTTGTTAGTGAATGCCGTACAGAGTACAGTAAACTTGGTAAATCAAGAACCAGCACATAACCTAAACTATGTTACTTTATAAAAAAAACCCAGTCAGGGACACAATATTATGACAACAGATTCCATAACAACAAATAACATAACATCAACTGGAACTGGTCGGGGTGAAGTGTAATAAGTACATTAGTCCTCTCAAAATTCTCCAACAGACAAATCTTGGACAGGTCCTGGAAATTCAGGACGGTCCGCTGACCTATTTACCAAAGTTCTATCTGCTCAGTACCTAGTTTTGAGAAATTTTACGTAAAAAATTGTGAGCTTTACAACACGGTCAAGCTTTTTCAAATGCAGTTCTTTGAATATCTTGATAATGACACTGAATAATCTTATAATTTTGATAGAGCAGACAGAACATTTGTGAGGCAGCGTGGTGGAATCAGGCTCTCATCAAAATAATCAAAGTGAAGAGACTTGCATTTTTCCTCAGGTTTGTGAATTTTTATCAACTTTTTGTTTTTTGGCTCAACACCTTTCATGCCCTTTAAAGAGCTCATTTCTGTGTGGATTTTTCTGAAAAGCTTTGATTAAAGGCACAAAAATATAAATTTTCAATTACAACGGACCTAAGCTAAGGAAATAACTAATCTTTGGCGGCCATTTTCTCACTCATTTTACCTCTGAAAACACGTGACCCCCACCTCCATCATTCGCAAATATCTCGACTTGTATTCAAGATAAATGGATATTTGTTTCATCCAAACAAAGATAAGTGAACAAGCTTTAAGATGATACCAATAACTCTACAGGCCCAAAATTTGACGAGAGCCTGATTCCACCACGCTGCCTCACATTTGGTCTCTGACCTCAAATTGGCCAAAAATGTCAGATAGAACTTTGTCGTTCTAAAGTAGCAACCGAACCGCGGGTGGCAGACACACGACAAACGTACCTTGGTGAGTCTGGTAGCCGAGGAGACAGCAGGGGAGGGAATACAGGCGCTGACTGAGGCGGTGGTCACCGTGCCAGAGATGGTACTGGAGGCCACCACCACGCCCCCTGCGGCGCTCCCCGTCAGCTGGAAGGGCGCTGAGCCTAGCATCGGCGTGCCCGAAACCATCTGCAGGAAGCCCCCGGGGGCGGTCGAGATGGTCGGAGTCTGGAGAGGGACTTGCGGGTTCAGCTGGAGGCCGGGCCCGGGCCCGTTGATCAGGATGGGCGGGGCCGACAGGTTGTTGGGGTCAAACTGGAGGGAGAAATGGAAGGCCGTTGACGTATGTTAGTCTACTGTTTACTTTGATGAATTGACTCGACTTGAACTGCAGCTTAAGAGAGAGAGACG